GGGGGGGGGGGGGGGAGACACTCCTCCAAGTTTTAAAAATGGTATGATACTCGGGAAATTTTCCCTAGTATTGGGCTGTAAGTTGGGCAAAGCAGTTGAAGTCATCTGAGATAAAGATAGAAAAGTTCACGAATTTCATAGCAGATTAATTTGTGACCACGCCCTTTTGTCGGGCAAGAAGAACTCATACCCCCCCTCCCCCCCCAGTCAAGTTGCGTCCCTGTACAAAGAATCTAATGCGTGATCATGGATTTACCTGTCAGCGTCGACCACGCCAAAAGTGTCGATGAAAGGAAAGTTTGTTGAGATTGCCTCAAAATCCTCAGTGGTAAGTCGACCATCGCTATCTCGGTCGTAGAACTTGAAAACAGCCTAATGTCCACAAAAATGAAGTAAAGTCAAAAAGTGCCTGAGAACAACATACTGCTTGTTTTCGTTCCGTATTGAGAAGAGCAGTAAGGCTATTAACCGATTTATTACCTCGACCATAGATGAGACATGTCTATCAATGGTCTTGGAATCAGGCGCTGCAACGCGGCCCGAAGCCCAGTCAGCGAACAACTGAGACTTTGGAGCATCCACAGTCTGGGATATCTAGAGAGAAATATACAATTTATTCATTTATTAATTCGCCTACCAGTTAAAATCACTTGTTTTTGAAAAATTGTGTCAAAGCTGCTCTCATGCTGTATATATTACTTACAACACTTGATCTCTTGGGTTCCTTCGCGTATGATAACTCGTAAAGTTCGTCCTCTGAAATAGTCATTTGAATTGACAACTATATAGTAGAACAAAAAGAGTCGGTCAAATGAGGATAATATGATAGAAATGACAGGCAGTCAGGGCATGACTCAAGGTACAATGATAAGACGCAAGTCGGCAGACTTAAATACTGTATACTCACGCGAAGCATGTTAATCAGTTCAAACTTGGATGGCGCTGGTGGTTGCATGTTCTTGAAGTTCATTAAGGTGGCGATGACGGTATAAAATTTGACCATTTTTTGAAAGTTGATTAACTTCTTATCTGGGACATAGTCTGGCAAAGCAGTGTCAACAGCAATCAGATCTTTCAGGTGAACGCCTGTGTGAGAGAAAGAATAATGGCAATGCGAATAATCTTCTAATGGAATGAACAGCTAAAACAACCTCCCCATAAAAAATATACCTCTAGAAATTCCAAATGAAACAGTCACATAGAAAAGAGAAAAAGAGACAATGTATTAATAGCTCAGTGAGACAGAAATCCTGAAAGTAGTTTTCCAAAACACAGAAAGCAAGACTTAAGACTCTTAGGCAACGTTTCCAATATACCGGATAGCTTTGCATAACAGTACAAAAAAGCACCCATCCGATACGGAGTGTGCAACTTTCAGAAGCTGAAAGCTATCCGCTACAGAGTAAACATGTAGGTCTCTTACAATATGGGGACATAGAATCCACTGCAGTTGGCTAGTTCTCGTCGATAGTTGCTGTAATTTCCTTCAGATGACAAGAATTCGGTCATTTCTTGAAGAAACTGTGGAAGAAATGCACAAAGGTTAAGGATTGCGTGATGGAACTCCAATAATTAAGAACGAACGCCCAATAATTAAGAACGAACGCCCAATAATTAAGAACGGACGTCCAATAATTAGGAACGGACGTCGAATAATTAGGAACGAACGTCCAATAATTAGAAACTAACGTTCAATAATTAGCAACGAATATCCAATAATTAGGAACGAATATCCACTAATTAGGAACGAATGTCCAATAATTAGCAACGAACATTCGAATAATTAGAGTATGCATACCCCGGCCTGTAGATACTATACCAAATGTAAATACGCCAATCAAAATTATTTGGATAGATGATACCTTCTTTTTGTGTTCGCTAAGCAGCAACATAGTTTGCTGAAGTCTTCGTAATGCACTG